TCTTTGTTTCCAGCACCAAGGGATGGGAGTTTGTTGGTGTCTAAAAATACGCAGCAGTGTTGGTGTTGGAGCATTTCTTAACTTGTGCAAGTTGTTCTCCGAAACTTTCTCTTGACTGAAGTGATGAGTTGAACAGTTACAGTAAATAGAGTAATATTTTGATTGGTACAAAACCTTTCGTTTCTTCTTGATGTCTAATTAGTGTAGCTCTGAATGTCAAATATTTACCCGCTCTACCCAGCGCTGTGCTCACTTTGGTGGGGCTCCATCTGGCTCTGCCTGCCTGGGAGCCTGTTCCTCCATGGAAGAGCTTTCCCAGACTCGGATCTGGTGCTGGATCCCACCTGTTCCCCTCCAGGTCCTTTGATCTGGAAGGGAGCTCTTCCCTCCAGCAAATCCAGCTGGAAAGCAGTGCTGGGAAAAAACCACAGTTGGTCCATGAGTGTGACTGTGCAAACGTCATCCTACATCTTGACTAAAAGCTGCTGGTGGGGTGAGTGGGGCAGTCATGCTAAATGAAGGCATAATTAGGCATTTAGTGATGTAATTCATTAGTACAGAATGGGATGTAGAAGCCTTGTGTATCCATAGAATCCCACAATGGTTTGGGCTGGAAAGGACCTTAAAGACCATCTTGTTCCACCAGGGACACCTTCCACCAGCCCAGGGTGCTCCAAGCCCCGTCCAACCTGGCCTTGGACACTTCCAGGGATCCAGGGGCAGCCACAGCTTCTCTGGGCAACCTGTGCCAGGGCCTGCCCACCCTCCCAGGGAAGAATTCCTTTCTAATATCTGATTTTAAGGGTTTCTCAGGGATTTTAGTAGCAACTATACTACAGACTTGGAGTGAAGCAGAGGGATCCTCTCGTTGTTATTTGTTCACGTGGAGTGAGAATCCAACCTACAACCCTTCAGGGAGGAAATGGGTGCTTACCTTTAGGCAAAGACTTTTTTCCCCTGCTGCTGCTCTCTGGGATAAGGTTGATAGTGCAAAAATAAAAGCTTAAATAAAGCTTTTATATTTCCTTATATTAGAATGTTTGCTACATCTTGGTCCTCACTGAATTCTGATTTCATAAGCGTATCTTCTCTGTCCATCATGTTCTTTGTATGACTAAGAACCAGCTACCAAAACATGTGTTTATATGATTAAAGCATGTACTGAATAAATTTCCATTTTTTGTTCCCCTACTTTTCAAACAATTTGATTGGTGTCTGGTTTGGATGATGCAATGGTTGTACTGGAACTCCTTGGGAAAGGGCTGTGCTTCAGCCCTTTCTTTGGGGTTTAGGTTGGTTGGTTGTCAGCTGAGAGCTGCACTGAGTTATCAGGGAAAGAGTTTCAGCTTTTAGTGGAGCCAGAGTTGGGACAAACAAGGTTTGAGTAGCTCCAGTGTAGAGTTTGCAGCCAAGCAATGAGCTGGTGAATGGACTCATGGAGTAGAGAGAACAGAAAAAAAACCAGTGGGAAAATTCTGTAGAGGACCTGACCAGGTCACTGCTTTTGTCTTTTGGCACTTTGGGAATTCCCAACTAAAAATAATCCAAGACAGCCTTTCTCTGTAAAATAAATCAACTCTAACAAGAATGAGTTTAATGTATTAAAATATCTGACTTTCCTTATGAATTTGTACTTTCAGGTATTGGAAATTTGACTGAAGTCTACATATCATGCACTGGAGAAGGTAATGACTCTTTAATGCTAATTTTGATGTGTTGATGATGCTAATTACTCTTTATTCTTGCCATCATTGCATTGAAATATCAGAATCTTCTTTGCATTGTTTGTGCCTTGGACTGAAGAACAGCCCCAGAGTTTCTCAGTGCCCTGACAGTGGATTTCAATTTCCCTTTTTAAAAGAATATATGTCTGTCTTTAAGTTCCTGGGGTGTTTATGTTGCATTTATGCAGTTTTACTTGGGAAGGTTTATGGAAAAAACAGAACAACTTGTCTTCAGCTTAATTTTTTGTTGTTACTGAGCCATTGTTTAAAGCATGCACATCAGTTAAAGAATGGAACCTGTACAAAAGGGTATTGATAATTGATATCTTGTTATCAATAGTGTTTTGGGTTGTTGGTTTTTTTTTTTTTTTTTCTGGTTAGGCTCTTATTTTTCTTGTGAGGAGATTTTCAAAACTGGTCTTTAATTAATCATTGAATGATTGACCCTGTAGCTGAATTAGCCAAACAAACCTGTGGTGTTTGTGAAACTCAAATTTTCTTAATGGCATCTCAGCTTGAATGTCAAAGGGAACCAGCACTGTTGGTGGAGAGGTGGGTTTTGTACTGTATAACCTGAAATTATCTCAAAGGGCTTTTTTTCAACATGCTTTTAAGTAGGAATTATATGATGTTATTTCCAAAGGAGAACAAAATGTCTTCAGAGCTTACAATTAAGTATTCGAAAAAATAAATGTTGTCTTCCTTCTTAGCTTTAGGTGTTCTTTTTGTATCTGTTCAGAGAAGGTTGCAGGGGGCTTCTGATGAAAATACTTCATTTCTTAATTCAGAAATTTCTGCTTGGTCCTGGGTGGTGTTCATAAGGAAAACTGAAGCTATGGAGATGAAGTAAATATTCTTATTCAGCCTGGGCCCTTTGGAATGTGCAGTGCTCTCTTGGTGTGAGGTTCTCCAAGACAGTATGATAAATTTTGTGATATATCACTTTCTAGTGGTCTGAAAGGAAAAGCTTATTTCTTAATATAAAAGATAACTTTGAATAATGGACTCCTCATCCCTTTGGACAGTACTCCTAAATTAGCCTCAGAGCCCTTTCTCAGGTGCAATCTCATTTCCAGGTTCCCCACAGTAAAAAGGAGATGCTGATCCCCATTTCATTTGGAAAGTGTTTTCAATCTGCTGATGAAAAGTACTTCTGAAGAGTTAGGCAACCTTGATTAATTGAGCCTGAATAAGAAGTGCAGGATCAAATCTCAGGATATTATTTTTTAGGCTGCAGACCTGTGTTCTGCATTCCAAATCCTTCCAGGCTGGTGTGATGGGAGGTGTGAAGGGCTGGAGCAGACACTCATATCCATACTGGTAAATGGCTTGCAAATGCTGACACTGCTGCAGGCAGGAGGGGGGGAAATTGCTTTTTTGTTTACAGAGCAACGTAGGTATTTGGTAAACATTCCTCATTAGTGAGGATGTGACTGGAATTGGTGGGAAATGCCTGAGTTCTGTGCTGGGACCAGCAAAGTGGCATTAAACGAAAGCCGAGCGTGGAGAACCGAATGTGAACCACTGACAGTTCGGTGATGAGCTGTGCAGTGCTTAGGTCTGGGACCAGGAGGCAGAACTGGGTTCTTGTGGTGTGTGGGAAGCAGGGAATGGAACAGGAACGCTTCCCAAGCTGCTGAGACGTCCTGAGCTGTGAACTCCTCTGAATTTTGTGTATCTGAGTCCTGCTCTTTGGCCAGCAGTGACCTCGAGGTCAGCGCTGTGCTTTCGAAGAGCGAAGCACAGCCTGTTTTTTTAGGGGAAGAGTGGTCCCACACACTGCTGTGCTTGACAGAATTCCACTTATGGGGACTGCAAATTCAGCTTTTACACCTGTTTCATCTCTTGGAGACGGCAGGACTTTTTAACCCACACTCCTCAGCAGCACGTGGTCCTTGCTAAGCCCTAAGCAAGGCCATGGGGGAGCCAAGTTTGGGGTTTTGATTCTGCTCTGGTGAATCAGAACTGGGCTGTTGTTGGCCAAAGTGGCTCAGTAAGTGGATTTCATAGGAAACATTTGTGCATTGTAATGGTATAATTATAAAAGTCTACTTTATTACCTGTCAAGCTAATTAAAACAGCAACAGGTTAACAGTCCCCCTTGAAGCTTGTGGCATCTGTGCATTGTATTCAAAACCAGGCTTAGAGTGTCATTTTAATTAGAAACATTACCAGCAGACAATGTACAGTTGTGCTGGAGAAATGTCCTGGTGCTGAATGTGCTGGGTAATAGCTGTACAAAAGGAAATGACAGTGAATACAGCCTGAAAAGCAGTTGTTTGAGGCAGGGCTTGAAAGGATTGGGACTGTCTTCAAGGGCATCCAGAGTGAAGTGGCAGCTTTCTCTTCCCTTGCTGTGTGTTGGTGGCTCACAGCTGTTGGCTGCTTGACTCTGGAGAGCTGCCACTCCTTCCAGGTGGGAACACACTCAGCTGGAAGTGCTGTGGGTCAGGGTGTAAGAGGATTACCTGGATGCAGGCTCGGTGCATGCAATCTTTACGTCAGTCCTTCAAGGACAAGGGTTGTTTGTGGTCTCCAGGCGTCCTTCTGCTTCTCGAGATCCATGGCTGTCCCCCTTCCCAGGCTCCTTATTGTCAGATGTGTCTGCCACCCTGTCCTCCTACTCCTTCCCAGCTCTCCTCTGAAGATCTGTTATGCCCTTTCTTTATGATCTCCCACTCTTCTCCCATCCTGACTCTTTTCTCCCCTCCCTGCACCTTCTGTGCCTCTCTGCCCACCCTTTCCTTAGAAGCCTCCTCCTCTCCCATCAGCTGGGCTTCTCATGCCACCAGGATTCCCCTCCACGTGGAAAGCCCAGATATTAAAACTGAATCAGTAGTTCTAAAGTAATTTGATAAACTAAATTAGTGCAGCTGCCGTTTTATGGTGGATTTAGTTGTTCTTTTAGAAGTTAAGAACTGCCCTCTTGGAACTTGCACCTCAGAGACAGTTTGATAATTTTACAGCAGAGGGAAGTGACAATTGCTTGATACATATAACCTGGCTTGTAATTAATCACTGCAGAGTCCACATTTTGCTTGATTTTGGGGGTAATATTTTGAGTCGTATTTAGGATGGAGTCCTCGTGACTTGACTTTTCATCATAAGAACGTGGTGAATACAAAAGGCACCCACCAGATACTCGGACAAAAGTTGGGATAAAGTGATGTGAACTCATGGGTGCCTCGTTCCAGCAGCTTTGCAGAACTCTGAGAGTATTTTCTTTCAGAATACGTGTGAGGGTGTGTTGTTTGTGTTCCCTGAGTGGGTACCTGGGGGCTGGAATAACACCAAGGGATGTCTGGTGAGGCAGCAGTGCCATTATTTCTGAAGCCTGCCACAAGGAATATTTTGGCACAAAGCAAATCTGCCCTTCTGCACTTGTTTGATATTGTAAAAGAGATTATTGTGGCCTTACAAGAAGGTTAAGATGTCGTGAAGTTTAATACAGTCTGAAAATAGTCCCGTTAAAGCCACTGTTGCTGGTGATTGATGAGGCAGGTTATGATGGGAGCTCTAAATCTCGTGTTTGTGTGTGCAAATTGCCATTTCCCAGCCTTTTCAAGGTTGCTGGGTTTATCTCTTGGTGCAGCCCATATTTAAGGACTTCATGTTGCATTAGCCTTTGATTAAGGGGAAAGGAACTTTGATGATAAAATGCCCCTAACAGTGGTTCTGTGGACTAGCTTGGAATAACTTATCAGTCATTTTTCATGACTGAGAGCATGTTTGGGACATGAGGGTCACCCTTTGAGGATTAATTTCTGAGATAAACAGCTAATGGCTGTTGGATGATTATGGTCAGAAGCAATTATTATGGCATTTTTCAACTGTTCATTACTACAATAAAGAGTCACTAGGCTAAGTTTTAAGCTGCTGTTTAAATAGCTGGGTCAGGATGTGTCAGGCTGGATTCCAAGGTGTTATAGAATGATAGGAGTTGCTGACATTTCTTCACCACCTGCTCTGGCAGAGGTGGGTCCTGACAGTTGCTTTTGCCCATTTTACCTTATTTTTTCCTATTACCTGAACTTTCTACACCCTCAAAGTCAGCAGCTCAGATAACCAGCTGGCAGTTTCATGGAGTCCCCTGTAAATATCAAAGTAAACATGTATTTTCTAGATACAATAAAGAACATTTCACACTTTCTTTAAGTTTTCAGACAGGTGTCACTGCCTCCTTTTCCTCTGGGCTTCAGGTTCCCTTTCTTCTGTCTCCTTTTTAAAACTTCTGTCATCAGCTGAGCTGAAAGATCTAATGGAACAGGACGTTGTGAGGACAACTCATGAGCTGCTGGAAGGTGGAGGTAAAAGTGGTAGAGCCTGAAAGCCTAAGAAATGTCTGTTTAATTCTATTTAATAAAAAAGGGGGAGCCCCAAACAACAGAGATATGGGGAGCTGCTGTCACAAGCACTGCTTGAAGGGAGTGAGGAACTGGCTTAGGGAGGGAGAAATAAACTGAGAAATAAACTGCTGAATCACTGGAAGCAAGGAAGTAACACAGAGTGGAGAGGCTCTGCAAAAAAAATAAAAAAAAATAAAAAAATAAAAAAATGAAATGGCTGCTGTAATTCAATTAAAATCACAGTAGGATTTGCTGGTGGAGATGGAACATCCGTCATCCCGTATCTCACACTGGCTGGTGCCTCAAGGGCTGCTTAAGTGAGTGGAGAGCTCCTGAAAAATGCTGGAGTGACAGTTCTGCAGCGATGTGAGTCTCCTTTTCCTCACAGACAGATGTGTTTTCCCCAGCACACCTATTGAGTTTGAACTGCTGCTCGGTCTTCAGGCAGGTGACGCTTTTTTTTAGTTGATTATCTGAACCAAAAGTTGTAGCTTCTCCTACAAACTGGAAGAGGAAAACTCTATGGGAATGCTGCTTGGGTAATGGAGCTGCAGGGGTTGGGGGCTGCAAATCATTTGGGGGTTTATGATTTTTTTTTTTCCTAATGATTTAAAG